GTTCCAGTTATAGACTGGCTGGCCAGAAAGACCTCAACAGTTGTATTGTGATTAAACAGACCTCACTGGGGACAACTATAATCTCCATCCTTCATGAACCATTTTTATTTTATCAACTAATAAACGTCTTCATTTTTCTTTCAGTTCAACTTCTCGTTAGCCGTTCTCTGAGAGACCTTTCAGAGTTGACAGAACCAAGAGACAGGAACCCAAAGAACCCACCCTCGGCCTAGGATGCGGCTCAGCAGTAGAGCACACTTGTCTAGTTAATGTGCACACAAGCATGAATTTGGTCCCTACCGTCACCAAAACCAAAACACCATCATAAGGTTCACAAGCCAATAGAAACAAGGCCTTGCCACACAGTCCAGGCAGGCCTCAAACTCAGGATTCTCCTGCTTCAGCCTCCCAAGTGCATTACAGGCAAGTAGCACCACCCCAACAAGAAGCAAGATTCTTGGTAAAGTGGGAAATAACCCCATTATATGGCCGACAGTATAAAAGCCACATAAGATTATACGTGCACGTGGAGGATTACTAGAATACAGTAACATGGAATATGGTATGTCTCAAATTGCTATTTTAGAATAAATTTCCTCATGTAGAACTAATTCTTTTTTTTTTTTTAAACTGGGGTGGAAAGCATTAACCCTATTATTGTAACTTTTTAACTAAGCAACCCTCTAGACCCATAGGATGGCAGACATTCCAATGTCTAAGCATTATATCCATGCCTCTCAGAGAATAAAACATTGTGCCCTGCAGGGTAAGGCCCCAGAACTGCACATGCCAGCGACGCCGGCTGACATGTAAGCACTGTTTTCTCTCAATTAGGAACCCAGAACTGCACGTGCAGAGTAGTATCAGCTGTGTGCAAAAATTTTACATGGATCCTCACTACTCATAATCTAAGAGAATAGAAATACTTCAAGGAAAAAAACACAGAATTCAGAAACAAATAACCTTATGCATTTTACCCAACATTGTATAAATATTTCCCTTAATTAAAATACAAATTTCTTCCCATAAATTTTATACAGATGCAGCAAGAAAAAAAAAAAAAACGACCCATTAACACATCACAGAACATAAAATTAAAACCTGAATATTTCTATCTAATTTTAAAATACAGGATGTCAAAATATTGTCATTTTAACAATAACTTAAAAAATCTGTCACAGGCCACGGCATACCAATATATTAGGATAAACAGCCAAAGTAAAATAAGTCTACTAAATTAAAGCAGAAAACTGAAACATTTTATCTTTATGTAACAGCTTCATCAGTATATTATCAATTATGGTGATCAGATTTCAAAGTCCTGATTATGATTAATTGCAGTAACTACATAAAACAGACTTAAAAGGAGCATTCAACAAAATAAAAGCAAAATGTATATTATAATCACACCTGTTTCAGCTCAGCATTTTCAAGTTTTTCTTTCTCTGCTTTTTCAGTATTCACAACTTGTTGTTGAAGTTTTAACCTAAAAACCACAACCAACAAAAGATGATGAATCCATAATTCATTCTTTCCCTGGACTGGACGTCATTGTACTGAATGGCTGGCTGACAACAAGCACTGCCCTGTACCCAGAGTCCAAATATCTCGACTCCCAGGAGCTACATGGCTGTCTATGACGAATACAGAGGGACACTGCTTCTTAGATGTCAGCACATACACGCCAGAAACAGTAGCTCTGAAGCAGTGGTTCTCAATCTGGGGGTCGCATATCAGATATTTACATTACGATTCATAACAGTAGCACTTGGGGGTCGTACATCAGCTACCCTGCAAATTAGATACTTACAATTCATAACACTAGCAAAATCACATTATGGAGTAGCAATTTTACGGTGGAGGGGGGGCATCACACCATGAGGAAGTGTTTAAAGGGTCGCAGCCTTAGGAAGGTGAGAACTACTGCAAGTCTAAAGGGAAGATTCAGCCATGCTTCTCCTTGTTCTTCAAATTTTATTTCACTTTTTAAATTTGAGTATGTGCACACACCACAGCAGTGTGGGGATGGACAAGTGTGGGAGCTCAAGTCCCTCTTCTCAAATGACTCCAGTTTGTACCAAGTAGAGAAAAGAGCCAACCAGGACAAAAGGCAAATTGGCAGATGAGAAGGGAGAGAAGCACAGGGCTACCAGTTTCAGAGTCTCCAGGGAGTGGAAAACAACTAAAGAAGAGAGTCCCATCTTGGAGGGGAGCGGTTCTGAGAGATGACAAGCCCTGGGCATGGACGGGTATACGGGACAATAAAACAGATTTAAAAATGCCTGAGTGAGGATACCATATGCTACACAGCTAAACAGGAATAGTTCATCAATATGGATGACTGATGGCAAGGGACAGGAAAGAGGGGCAGTGTGAGCAAGGTATCAAAGACTCCATGACTGTTAAAAGATTACCTAGCAGGAAACAACTGGAAAAGGAAAAAGAATGGAGATGAATTAGATGTACCAAATATCAAGGGGAAAACCATTTTAACCAAACTTGGTCAGATGAAGATCTGAAACAAGAGGAGCATTGCCACTCTCCTGGAGGGAAAGAAGGATTCGTTTCCACCTAAAGGGGTGGGAGGGTGTATGCCCTCTCAGAATCCACTAGAGGCTTTAAAAGGAAACGCTGAATCGCACAATATTTTATGGTAACAGAACAAGACGCTTCCTCAGCTGTGCTCAGTGTGGTAGTGGAAGAACTAAGGCTTGACTCTCAGCAGGAGGGTGGGCGGGGTGGGGGCGGCAAGGGGAACAGAGGGGGATGGAAGGAGGGGAAGAGGAGATGAAGGAGACGGGGGAGGGGGAGAACTTTATGAAGTAGGTGGTAAGAGATTAGGAAGTGAAGGATCAGTTAAGCTGAGGAATGATAAACTATAATTATACTTTAAATATGATCATGGAGGTAGAGATAGGAAGTGGGTAGAGGGTCAAGTCACAACAGAGAATCCGGCTGGAGAAAAGATTAACTGAAAATGACGGGACACCAGTAAGATGACTGTCTCAAATCCCTGCACTGTGTTCCCGTCAACGGCCATGGTCCGAGTCTGGGCTCTCTATTCATGCAGCTGCTATGCTATTTGGACATTCAACAGATGTAGACAGAGCAGCTGACTGTAAATGCGGAGCCCACTTCTAACTGCTGTGGAAACATGATAAATACAGACAGGCCCCACTCTCAGCTTCTTATCAGATAGTGCTGTTGGAGTGTTATCAGGTGATGGAAATTATTATCTCAAAGTTTCGATTTGAAAAGGCACTAGCTTCATGGTGCTACTGAGTGCTTTTGACAGTATGACTGAGGAACTGTCATTTTAATTTAAAATTTTAATTAATTGAGCCTCAGATTTAAATAGTTACATGTGATCGGTAATACCATATTCAGTGGCAAAGGATCTTGCCTTCACATAATGTCTATGTCCATTACCAAGGGAAAGCAAAATAATAAGACAAGCAAGGGGAGCTCTTGGTGGTTTCTCTAGTATCAGAAATTCCTAGAACAAGTCTCTTCAGAACAGTGTCCTCAACACCGACTTTCTGAAAGCAAGTGTTCTGCCTCTTAAGCACTTAAGACGGACTGGCCATTGTTTACCAAAAGGGAATTTCTTGAAAAGGTACGAGGGCACTGAAGCAGAACATTGCTAGAGAATCATGTAATAACTGACAGGAATCTCTGCGCCCTTCAAATGCTACTAGACGCTCACTTCTGTCCCTTACTCGGCAGCCCAAATTGTAAAGGAACCGGTTTAAATAACCAGTACTAAGTCTAGTGCTTCCTAAGAAGATGATACACAGCAAACAATTCTTCTCAAGATACAAATGGAAATGAGGCTGTATTAAATGATGTTTAAAAGGGTCAGTATCTACCTGTGGGCAGCCAAATAAACAAGCAAACCTAAAGCAATGATATAAAAATGGAGATGACTTTAAGTTATGCAAAAGATACATTAGTTTAAAAGGTATCACACTACAGGTGGTATCTTATATGTTTTGGCCTCCTCCCTTGGACAATTAGTGCTTTCATTTCTTCTCTTCACCTCTGATATCAGAATACACTTCCTCCTCTCTATCACACATATCCTAGCTTACCCAGAGTGCCTCATTCCCCTTGACATACCGATAGGCCCAGAGACAGACATGTGAACCAGACCCAAACCACTGTCTAGATTTTTCTAACCTGAACTGACAAGTAACTGTTCTCCTTTCGTTTCAACACATGCACTTGCCTCACAGAGACAGCAGAAGAAAGTAAAGCCAACAAGGAGAATGGGAGGAAAGAAAGAAGTGACTTCTATCTGCTCATAGCTGAGCTGTCCATCCAGGCGTCCAAGAAAACAAAGAGTATAAACCCTGTCCTTCCTACAGCCATGACCACTGTTGTTAAGGCAAGCTGACTCACACCTAACCTCCTATAATTTGTACATGGTTAATTAATTTTACAGGTAACTTCACAAGCTGAATAAAATTAGTACAGAGGCTTTCTCAAATACAAAATGGGGGGGGGGGCGTGTACACACACGCACACGCCCGCACACGCAAGTGCACATTCAAGCACACACAGACATGCACTTGTCTGGACACACACGTGGAGGTCAGACACTGACATGGGCTGTCTTCTTCAAAGGCTTCTCCACTTCATTTTTTGAGGCAGGGTCTCTCCCTGAACCTAAACTTGCTGTTCTGGCTAGACTGACCGGCCAGCCGGTCCCTGGAGCCACCGGCCTCTGCCTTCCAGTGCTGGCATTCCAGGTGTGCACTGCCGTGCCTGGCTTTTTATGTGGGTTCTGAACTCAAGTCCTCATGATGGTGCATCAAGTGCGTCACCCACCGAACCATCACCTCTGCCAGGAGGAATACTTCCTAAAACATTATTCTTTGCACTGTGACAGGTTAGTGGTGAAAACAAAACACTAGAACACAGTAACTGAAAGCAACTCTCAAGCTTGCATTAATGTCTAGAAGATCAGCTACTTGTCATATAGCATAATTTGTAAATAATGGACTATTTTTCAATATTTACATTTTTTCCTGTCAGGACTCATTTTTTTAAGCCCCAGATTGTCTCTGATCTACCACAGACTCTACTAAGTGGAAGTTACAATTATAGTTATTCTAGTGAAAAATAAACAGGTGATTGACATGACTAAATTTATAAAACAGTAAATAAGTGACATAACAATTATGTAACAATCCAAACATGGAAAACTATAAATCTTGAGAAGTACTCTGTCAGATTGTCTATGGTTAAGGTGTCCTTATTTTATGGACATCTTATGGGCCCAATCACATATTATAAATAATCTGGAGAAACTCAAGAAGGATAAAAAACAAATTCTCAAAAGTGACTAATGAAATAGAAATGATTTATATTATAGACAAGTTAAAAACGAAAACTGTTTTGTATTTTATTAAATGCTCCCAAACAAAACAAAACAAAAGCTATGAATCAAGTTTATTACTGTCTTTAAGTAATGACAGGACACTGAACATTTTATCACTATGGCTGCAGAAGCTCTAAGCCGTCAAAGTACGTTCAAATTCAAACAGAAAACCTTCTAAAGGCCAAACTGAGACCAGGACACAATAAAATAACAGATGGGCACTTCCCTGGGAGGGCAGAGACAGAAAGTCTCACAAAGACTGTCCGGAACAGTTACGTAAATATCTACCTCAAAGAAAAGATGGGCAAGACTGGCTGAGCCACCAACAGGGTGAAAGATCCTGAAGAGCAGTTCTTTCATTACTAATGTGGACTAAGAAGCTTGCCTCAAAGCAGTCTACAACCTCTTTGATTTTAAGTCATTTATCTTTAATTTTTATAAGTCACTAAGATTTAGGGTTTTTTTTTTTAATTGAGAAAGCAAATGTACAGATCTGCAGGTACTGAAGGGCAGATGCTCTAGCACTGTATTATGAATGCTTTCTGCGAGAATAATTCAGAAAGTAACAAAGCCACACAAAACCACACCCTTAGTGTTAATAGAAAATACCAAACCTCAAAACAACTCTAAGTGAAAGGGGTAGTGGTGGAATACCAACTTCTAGCAACCCATCCGTCATGTTCCCGTCTGCAAGACTGCAGATAAACATAACTCACCCATTAAAACGAGGAAAAAAACCACAACTTATACTTTGTTCATTAGCAATGCTAGACTATACGCCTATATGGTGTAAACAGAAAACACATTTTACAAAAAGCAAGTAATGCAGAAAATTTAGGAAGGAGACAAAAATGTGTCGGAGAAAATGTGTTGGAGCAGTATGAACATGTAGAATAATGACATCAGATAATGTAGAATCACGTAAAAACGTGAGTAACCAAAAAGGGGCACCGTATAATGCAAAAGACCCACAACCGATCATCAGAACATAACTTACAAGTATATTCCCAACTGCAGAGCAACCACCTTTATGAAGCAAAACTACAAGCATAGGCAGAAACACTCATAATGAGACTTTAATATTAATTATTTCATACAGAAAC